CAAATTAAAGTGTTCTGTCGATATTTAATCTGGTCTAAATTAGGGAGAGTTTTATCTGATCCGAAGGTTAATTTTATTTTTATATCAAAATTTTAAATCTGATCCGATCTAAATGTTTTTTTTTAAATTATATTTTTCAAGAAAAAATTTTATATTTAGGTTTAAACAATGAAATGAATCCGTACCTTTTTACTATTCTCAACTTTATATATACCACTTTATCAGTGGTGGATCTACTAAAGCGTGAGGGTGGTTATTGAAATATAAATTATATCTATTTATCTTATTGATTGTTTTTATTCTGAAATTTTATTTGTACTCGTCAAGGAAAAAGACGAATGGGGTGTTGGTAAACAACTTTTTAAAGAGCTTTTAGTTTATTTGGGTATAAATAGTTAATTGGTAGTCAAACTCTCCGTTTTTAGTGTTTGGTAAACACTATTTTGAAAGAGTTTATTGTGCAAAACAAGCTGAGAATGGAAACGTTGGAAAATCTAGCGGGTTGGAAGAGCTGAGTTAAATGACATATTTGACTTTATTTTTTCATAATTACATTTTTGCCATAAAACCTAATCTAATGAAATGCCCTCCATCATAATATATTTCAGTGAAATTTTATTTTATTATTCTATTTTTTACTTGTAGATTCTCAAATATATTTTAGTTAAAATATAGCAAAACATGAAAGTAAAAAAATGCAGTTTTGATATTTTATACAAAGTTAATAGTATGTATCAATCTCATAAGGTTAATATTTGTAAATATTAAATTTAAAAAATATATTCAAAAGTATTCACTAATTTTCTTAAGGAATTTTTAATTTCTTGTCAAAAGCATTTTATCCGAATAATTTCACCCCCAATAAAGACTAAAGTATTATAAAACATATATGTACTTAATAACTAAATGTATCATACCCTTATTTGTCGTTTTACCCATATCAGCTATCAGCTAAATTTTACCAAACACTTCTATATAAACATTTAATCAAATTAATTGGTCAAACCAACTACTGAAATCAATTATCAGCTATCAGTTGTTTGTCAAACACCCCGAAGTGATTGCAGTGGACAGATATTTGCATTGCGAACAACAGCAAAGCCTCCCTTTTTCCCCAATAATTTCCCCTTTCTTTGTACGTCCCTATTGTGATCAAATCTAACGTAGAAAGAGATGAAGATGAATTATTAAAACATCTTTATATATTCAGTATATATATATTTGTAATAGAATTTATATGATTAGATGGCACTGAAACTTGCAATTTGAGCCATTTTTTTGCTGTGTTTTTGGAGGGATAAGGTTGAAGGGAAGGGGACGCGAGTGGAGGCCGCACGTCATGCAAAGTAACAAAAAGTATGGTGTAATAATTGAGATTTGCATAAAATGGTGGCCAATGGGTGATGATAAAGATGACACTTTGATGGCGTTATCATGCATGTTTCAATCATATATACAATGGAAGATTTCGGACAAGCAGGCCATGGGGGAATGCTCTTTTTCTCTCATTAGTTTTTCATTTCGTTTTGCAAAATTGAGGCGATAAGATCACCCTTACATAATCAATGTGTTTCTTTTCCACTCCCCTTTACTTTGGCCCTGAAGTCACTACAGCAAAACTGTTCTGTAGTGGCCTTTTTAGCGGCGTTTGTTGATAAAACGCCACAAAAGTATTACATATAGCAGCGTTTTCAATCCAAACGCCACAAATTGAGACTTTAGAGGCGTTTTTTTGTGAAAACGCTACAATAGAGTATAAATATAGCGGCGTTTTTGTTAAAAACGCCGCCATAGGATGGTATATAGTGGCCTTTTTTCAACAAACGCCGCAATTAATAATAGTTTTTGCGTCGTTTTTAGACAAACGCCACAGAAAGGTTAAACAATAGCGGCGTTTATAGTAAAAACGCCGCAATATAGTAGACATATAGCGGCGTTTTAGCTAAAACGCCGCAATATAGTGTTAATTTAGCGGCGTTTATACCAAAAACGCCGTAATAGAGTGATAAATTAGCGGCGTTTTTTGTATAAACACTGTAAAAAACATGTGATATAGTGGCGTTTGTTAAAAACGCCGTAAAATGTTAAATATATTGTCCTCCCTTTTCTCTCACCCAAACCCTAAAATCATTTCAACTCTTCTTCCCTCATAGTTTCTTCTCTGGTACAACAACGACCCTCACACGATTCCAAGCGACGTCGTCTTTTGTCTATCCCGGTGACCAAATCGGCCCTCTCACCGACAAACTATAACACAATTCCACGGTTTGATCCCTCTTATCACTAATGATCTTTTTCAATTTTGTTTTGGTTGGTATTCTGAAAATGGGGAAAACCCAGAAAGCTAACATATTTGAGGAAAAAAGAACAGGTCTTGCCTTGAGTAAGAGAAATTATCCTCGGAATGTCTACGTGGCGTCTTTGCTCTGACGATGGATCAAATTATCGCTGGGAGGCTATCGGTCTGGTTTCGCCGTCGAAACTCGATGATGACTCGACAGGAACTCATACTGCTCCATACCCTTCCATGGCTGATCTCCTACTTGAAGGTAAAATTCTATGAATCTTTATGCCGCTATATTTCCCTTTTGTACGGTCACTCAAATTTCATAGATCGTACGCATGTAGGATCTTCGAAGCTTATTGAGAATGATGATAGAGAAATGGATAAATACCTTATGTTTAGAAACGAATTTGGTAACTCTGTGGCATTGAAAGAATCTTCAATTGCAAAAGCAGTATCGATCCTCAATGAAGACGATGTTGCCTCTACTGTTACTCCAAGTAAACGTTTATATCATCTATTTAAATATATTTTAATGTTTGATTCAATTCCCAAGCATCTCCAATCAAGTTTTATACTGTAGGTGGAGGGTCGTTATCTGTTTCAAGTGAAGCACTGAAGCGCGCAAGGAGTCTTCTTGGTGAACCGAGGTAGGAGATTTATTTGGTGAAATGGATGAAGAGTTTCTCCATATAGAATTTACACGGAGGAAAAACTTAACGATGCGTCGTCAAACAAGGAAAACAACTTTCCTACGTCCTTTCCCCACGAAGGAGCAATGAAGACTAAATTGTATTGAACAATATGGTGAAGACTGTTTATGCATAAGTACTTTAATGTTTCTAAATTATAATGTATGTTGAAGACTGTTTATGCATAAGTACTTTAATGTTTCTAAATTATAATGTATGGTGAAGACTGTTTATGCATAAGTACTTTAATGTTTCTAAATTATAATGTATTTTGTTGTTAAGTAGTTTTATGCATAAGGACTTCTGTCTTAATTAAAATGTATGGTTGTAACGTTTGTTATAAAAACGCCGCAAAATCACGTACATTAGTGGCGTTTTTTCATGTAAACACCGCTAAAATCTCGTACTGTACTATTGTTTTATTAAAAACACCGCTATAAACTCATGGATTACTGGACCTTTTGGAAAAACGCCGCTATAGACTTGTACATTAGCGGCGTTTTAACAAACGCCGCAAAATCACGTACATTAGTGGCGTTTTTTCATATAAACGCCGCGAAAGAATAATTATATGTCCCTCATATCTCCTGGCCGATCCCTAATTCTTTTAAACCTTTCTTCCCAATCTTCCCTCTTCTTCCCTAATTCTTCCTTGAAAACCCCCAACACGACATCTTCTCCGATCTCCTGGCCGCGAAAGAATAATTATATTTCCGCCGACATGGACAACAACGAGGATCTAGAGCTTATTTCGCCTTTCGACGAGACATCTTCTACTAGTCAAGAAAGAAAATTTAAACGATTGGAGAAGGTGAAAACGATTTCAGAAAATACATCCCCAATTGAAGCCCTGGATTTTGGTACATCGGAGCCCCATGTAGTTGAGGAGCTGAAATCGGGATCCTTATACGAGGGTTCTTTTGACGAGGAAAATGAATTGAGTTCTGGCTTTGATGTGTTAGGTGTTGAGAGAAACAGGTCGGATTCAGTTGCTAAATGGGCTTTGGATTTTGATTCAATGACCGAGGAAGTTGATGGAAACGTTGAAGGTCAGAGTCAAGAGAAAAGAATTAGATATTTCAAACCGGAGAAGTCAGAGAAGAAACTGCCTAGTTTCGAAGAAACGGAGAGTAAAAGAACGAAAAAGAAATGAGAGTGAAAGGCGTTGGCGATGGGGAGATGCTCATCTTACCTTAAAGAAGAATAGCGAAGGTGCAGTCTTGCAGATAAATATTTTGTTCTTATTTTTAGATAACAATTTCACATAATAACATAAAATTCTATGTTAAATTATTTGTTTCGAAATGTTATTTGTCTACTTTTTCGTGGTTTATTATTAATATTTTTTTACAGGAAAGAAGATAATTTCTTGTCCAACTTCGTGCTGAATCTCAGAGACTGCTCCGAGGTATTATGAACAATCAAGGTTTATGTACAATTTTGGTATGTAGCTTCATAAATGATTTTGATGATGACTATCTAACTCTTGATTTATGTATGACTCTGGGTTCGAAACTATACATGTTGCGTTTCAACCAGCACCGATTGTTCAAAAGCCCATATCATCAGTTTTAGATAAGATTCGATGAAGGAGGCTTGAGGTTGCAAAGAAATGAGCATTTAGCTTTTGTAGTTTGCCTCTATGTTGATTAAGGCTTGGTATTTTTTAAGGTCTTGTAAACTTTTACATGTTTTCAGGACATATTTTGCCATTGATGATCATGATGGGAATTCAAGCAAGGATATGGCAGGGACTGCATTTGAAGATGTAGCTGAGGACGAAAGAGGCGATGAAAGGGAGTTTATGGAAGTTGAAAGCGAGGAGACAATTGTAAAGCATGGAATTTCAGATACCTTGTGCTCTGATGAAATAAAGAGTACTAAGAATAGTCATGAAAATCTTTCACCACAGGTTGTGAGTAATTCATATTGTATTTTTACAGTGAACCTGATTATTGCATGTTTGAAAACTTTATAGGCTTCATGATTTTAAGGTTGAAAACATATTTTGGGTAGGTAGTATTATTTCAAGTGTATCTGATTTTGTCTCTGGTGCTTTCAAGGTATTTTTCCACTTTTCTGAGCCATGACTTAAAACTAAAGACTTTTGCTTGTGTTCCGTAAAATATGTTATTTTGAGATGATTGTGCATTTAGTTTATTCTTGAATTGGTCATTATTTTCTCCTGTTGCAGATTGTTTATCGGCAACTTAAGCATGATGACTCTACACCATCTGTAAACAAGCCACGCAATGACTATTTGGTGGCTCAGGTTTGTATTTGATCTTCTATGTTGATTATGAGTGCCAAAATAATAATCTGAGTATCTACTAAATTGACAATTGTTTGTGTTTCTGATATTTAGAAGTATTTTTGCTTGTTTGATTGTTATGGTTGAAAACCAAAATGCCAACTGGAAAATGATGAAAAATTCTTTTTTATGAAGTTATATTTCATTATGGATGATTACAAATATTACCTTTCTTTAGTGATGGCAGTAGGTTGCAAATGCCTTGAAAATTAATTTATTATTAAATTTTAATTTACTGTCACTGGGTGACTGCATGTCAATTTTACACGAGTAAATTTTTTTATATTCATTTGAATCACAATCTGGAAAGTTGGCAGATTAAGTTTGTGCACATTATTGGTTATCCTATGTATTTTCATGCTTTTGTAACTTTCTTGAGCAATATATGATTGATAATGTTAAGCATTTATGACATTTTTGTTATTAATTCTGTTTATATCATATCAGCGACGACAACTCTCCTATTATCCTTATATATTATTTGTAACTTTTTTTTTCATTTATAGGTTAATACTCTAAGGCAGGAACTACAAATCTTGGCTTCAAACAGACCAATTACAATTGTTACTGGACGTGGAACATGTTATGATTGTTTCCATTCAAATAAACTACTTGCATAAAAAATGCATCTTTACACTTGGCTATAAGTTATATTTCTTAACTGGTTTCATGCTTGGAGACTTCCTGATATGATGTTTGCAACAAAGCGTAGTTTATCTGATGCACGTGAAGCCATAGCCAAACAGCTTTAGAGTGTTTACTCGTCAATCTCGAACAAGTGTTTCTTGTACTAGAGAACAATGTCAAACTACATTACATTTAATTTTAATGTTTATAAATTTTTATTTATTGTGTTAAGTATTTTTTTGCATAACTTGTGTCTTAATTAAAATGTATGGTTGTTGTTAATTAGATAAAGCTACATGATGTTAAATTTAGGTGATGTAAAGCAAAAATGAAATATGCAAAATCAATTAATCTTAGCTAAAGAAAGGTAATTAGCGACGTTTGTATCCAAAAATGCCACTATAGATCTGACCTTTTGCAGTGTTTGTATCCAAAAAAGCCACTATAGATCTGACCTTTTGCGACGTTTGTTTCCAAAAACGATGTTATAGGTCTGACCTTTTGCGGCGTTTTGCACTAGAAACGCCGCTAATTCTCAACCCTTATTGCGCCGTTTTCGATAAAAACGCCGCTAAAAAACATAACTTACTGCGGCATTTTTGGGAAAAACGTCGCAAAATATCAAAACCTATTGCGACGGTTTTAAGTAAAACGCCGCTACATCTCAAAACCATTTACGGCGTTTTTTCTAAAAACGCCGTTAAACATCAACGCCTATTGCGGCGTTTTTCTGACAAACGCCGCTAAATAACAAATCCTATTGCGGCGTTTGTTCAGAAAACGCCACTATATGTTGTAACCTATTGCGGCGTTTTTTTAAAAAACGCCGCTAACTTTAGCGGCGCTATTTTCAGCAGCGCTTTTTGCGGCGTTTGTCATAACGCCGCATGTGTTTTTAGCGGCGCTTAAAAACGCCGCTATAGGTAAAAAAAACGCCGCAAAATACATGTTTTGCTGTAGTGAGTGTTCCTCTCTCTCTCTCTCTGCTAGGGTTAGCTAACTATACCAATATTAGTAGGACAAGCAGGCCATGGGGGAATGCTCTTTTTCTCTCGGAAATTTTGTGTAATTTTTATTGCCTTAAAAACACATGAAGTTGCTCGGCCTAGTTTTAAGTAAAGGAGCAAAAAATACTTAGACGACAGGGCCAACACAATGCATAGAAATCTCTGATCTCGACACAACATCAAAAATAAGTAAAGAAAAAAAAATTTGACGACATGGCTCAATCAACATGTATGTAGACATCTCTAATTTTGATATACGACATATAAAATAATATGAACGCGTTAAAGAATATGTACAAAATTATGGATCCAAAAGAGACCCGACCATTCTTTTGCAGAAATTATCCTCTGTCCAATCAATCGCAACGTGGTGCAACCAACTTTAATTTCTGGAAAATATGGCAGCCACACTGTTTGTAGTGCATGGCATCACTCCAATTGCCCTTTTCCTTTTGATTCAATCATCCAAAAGTGGTGTAAATTTAAAACCACATGTTCAATAACTTCAACTTTGGTCGGACGCCTAGTATTGAAATAAGAATGGACCATCGTTCATGTTCTACCTATACCATTCGTTTAACACTAACAATTGATAGCATGGATCTACTAAAATCATATTGAAATTGATTTGATTGATACTTCATTAACGTCGGTGACGTCGTCTTTAACTTTTTAATGTTCAATCATAAGTGTCGACTTTATTTTGTTTGGTTCAATAAGTTCAAATCATTTATTTATTTGTCTTTTTTTAAGTTATTATATTAAAAATCCCATTTATTATTCTTTTTGAGAACTTACCTCAAATCAGATTTATTAGAAAATATCCCCCAAACTGTCCATATAGGATGGTCTCACGTTCTGCAAAAAGATGTCAGACCTCACATTTTACGAAAATCGAATTTCATGCATTTATCACTACTTTTATCCAAAATTAAATGACTTCATTGAAAGTTGATGAGTCTCGCATTTTACGAAAAAACGTGTTTTATAGGATGCAATGTAGCCCTATCTGAACAGTTTGGGGGTATTTTTCAAAAAAAAAAATTAATGAGATTTTTTAATATAATAATGTCTGTTTTTAGTGTGTGATAACTACAATGTAATATATGTTTGAATCTTTTTTAGTTATTAATAAGGTCATACACTAAGAAGACGCAACTACTCGAATTCGATACCTAAAGAGGACAACAATCCTTTTTATCATTAAGTTCACTTGAGGGTTGGTCACTTATTTGTTTGATTGGCTGATATTCCATTATCTATATAATTATATCGGTTCTCACTCCTTAATCCAAGTCCTTTAATTACACTAAACTCAATAAAATAAGATAATATATGAATTTTCTATGCATTCAATGGAATAATCTTATTGTCCAAGTTTTAACAATTTGCTTAATTCGAGAATATTTAAAATAAATTTTCAATCGCATAATTTATTATCGAAATTGTAAAATACACAAAATATTAATAAAAGTATATTTTTTATGTTAAAATCAGTTAACTTTGCTTCTAGGCAAATTACAAGACCGATCATCAAATGCATTTTCCCAGTATTAAATAAAATAAGGTGAAATGTTGTGTCAATCATTGGTATTGTCTTTCCAAAAACCCATACCGGTCCAGAGTACCGAGACAATGCACCCATTTCCTTTTGGAAGCCCATTACATCTGCAAGTCTGAACAATCACAGAAAGCTGAAAGTGCAGCTATTAGATTCTGCAGTAAAGTAAAATTGTCATATCCCCAAGATTCTTTGTTTCTATGATATTACTCGTGTCATGCATTATGTGTAGATCTCATAAAAAGAATTTGAGTATAAAACAGCCAACAAAGAAGGATTTTATAAGGATCAATATCTGTTTTTCCCCATATTTAATCCATCATCTTCCTAGATGCAATACTTAAAATGGATAGATAATTAAATAAGATTAATATATTTAGGGATGGACAACGGGATGATCAGGGCAGCCGCTTTCTAGGAAAAAAATAATTATATATTTTTATTTTTTATTTATTTATTTTAAATTTTATAAATTCATCTAGTAAGTTGTTATGTTTGTCTATGTATATATTCATCCAAGGGACCGCTTTGGGCAGGTGATGCGCATCTCTGAAGAATCACCTACCAGTCAACAGGAACGACGGCAAAGGCAGACGCCATGCAACCAATCATTGACGAGAACCATGAAAACCCAAAAGCACGAGAGAGGCAAGAAAACTCTGGTATCAAAGGTTGTATGATAAATCATATTTAACAAATAAGTTTAAATTCACATATTACTCATCCTGAGAACTTAAATCAACTCTTTCGGCCAAAGTTTATGATTATGTTATAAAATCATATTTGCTCACCAATAAATATATATAATTTAAAACTACTAACTTAATTTAATATAAATATATATTAATTTTTTATTAAGTTAATGTGATTATAAAGTAGTCACTACAACAAAACTGTACATTTGCGGTGTTTTTTTTTTACCTATAGCGGCGTTTTTAAGCGCCGCAAAAAACACCTGTGGCGCTATGACAAACGCCGCAAAAAGCGCCACTGCAAATAGCGTCGCTAAAGTTCGCGGCGTTTGGTAACAAAAAACGCCGCAATAGGTAACGATATATAGCGGCGTTGGACAAACGCCGCAATAGGTGTTGATATTTGGCGGTATTTTTCCAACAAACGCCGCAATAGGTGTTGAGATTTAGCGGCGTTTTTCCCACAAACGCCGCAATAGGTGTTGAGATTTAGCGGCGTTTTTTCCACAAACGCCGCAATAGGTGTTGAGATTTAGCGGCGTTTTTTCCACAAACGCCGCAATAGGTCTTGAGATTTAGCGGTGTTTTTCCCACAAACACCGCAAAAGATCTGATATATAGCGGCGTTTTTTAGGACAAACGCCGCAAAATGTCATATCTATAGCGGCGTTTTAAGATACAAACACCGCTAATTACCTCTCTATAGCTGAAAAAATTGATTTTGCAAATTAAAACTAATTTGTCAAATGTTGTTTTCTACTCTTTTATTACCCAAATTTAACCTGTAGTATTTTCCAATAAACTTGACATCCATAACAACAAACTTAAAATCCATAACAAGAAAAATGAAATCCATAATAATAAATCAAAGTTTACATTAACGTAAAATATAATGTAGTTCAACATTATTAACTATAATAAACAATAATATCTAAGATATTTTGTTTCTAATCTTACACATTCTTCAAAACTCTTCGTCACAATGAGGCGCTTAAATTCAAAGAGATAAATCCAGTTTATATGGGAAAACAATGATGCAGAGCTAGTATCGTCCTGTCATTTCTTGCACAGATATTTTGCTTCATGAGGTCTTACTCCAATTGGCATGCCACTTGAAAAGGCCCCATCCATGGCAATGCAAACCCGATCTCTAGGTATTGACATTAAAACGAAGCATGTTCCCTCATTGCTTGATTCTTCTGAATTCCTTAAAACGAAGAATTATACCATTACTTCAAACCCATAAGACTGTACATATACAGAAAACAAAGAGATAACAAAGAAAATATATTATATCTGAGTTTGAGCTTCGCAACTCCTAGAAAAGTATCAAATTATTAGAGTGAAGCTTTCAAAGAAAAACATGGACCATAAAACTTTCGAGAGTTTGGTTATATTTTCTTCTTTCATTGCCAATGAAAGCTTGACCTCAGTACGGTATAATATAGATAAAAATAAAAAAATAAAAAGAATAATATATTCAAGGACTTACCTGTATTTGTTACTAGCATGTTTATTGGCCACGAGTTTAAAGCTTGAATAAATCATCTTACTATAACACTTCACCATGAAGTTGTTTTGATATAAACAAAAAAAATCTCTTTTAAGTATTTGCACCAAAAGCTACTCATTGCTTATACTGAATTTCTTCTCCAATTGAAGTAATTGGAAGGCTAGTAACAATCAAGGACCATGAACTCTTAAATTGGTAATT